CCACAGCCCCCTTTCTCTTTCCCTCCCCACAGAGCACCTCCCGTCACGAACTTAGCATCTTCTGCCCATCCCCACCTGCTACCCTTCCTTTCTAGCAACGAGCCACCCTCACGTTTTCATTCTGTTTAAAAGAATCCCAAAACGCACCAAATTGCACCCGATCCTGTGCCCGCTCTGCATGCCTCGGTTTCTGCCTCCACCACCCTGCAGGAATTTCTCTGCTCCCCAGGCCTCACTGCCCTATTCAAGGCCAGCAAAAACTAGGTGCAGAAAAAAATCAGTCAATCAAACCCCGAAATGCAGGACACCGAGAAAGGAGAACCTCAGGATCCAGGTCCAACCCCTGGCTCAGCACAGGAATCCTGTCTGTCGTAACCCTGCCCCAGCCTCTGCTTGAATCCCCCCGTGGACGGGGAGCTCATACCGCCCGACTGCTGGACAATTCCTTCTATTACTGGGCAGCTCTAACAGAAAGTCACATCTGCTGCCCTGTGACTTCTACAGACACGTTCTGTCCCCTTGAGTCAGAGTGAATGAAACCTCTCTTTCTTCTCCACGTTACCCATCAGAAAAGAGACAGCCCATGGGTCCCCCATCTTCTGTCCTCCAGAAGCCTCTTAAACTACCTGCATAGCTAGGTTCCTGCAATACTAAGAAAACAGAACCGCATTTGAATTAGAATGAGGCCACGGCCACAGTTACTCTGGCTACAATGCCAATGAAAATGTGTTTTATTTTGCTTTAATATTTTTAAAAATAATACTTTGACTATTTTAATATCAGTCTTCTTGAAAAGCAGTGTGATACTACTCCCCTTCCTGGCTTAATAAAAAAGTTGCATAGTTCGCAATTTTATACCTATTAAATAAACAAAGATTGAAAATAGTGGTGCTACCCAGTAGGGGACCCTGAACTCTCTCGTATGGCTGGTGGCAATATAAATTAACACCAGCCTCTCAGGAAACAACCTGTCAGCCTGTTGTTTCGAGAGCCATAAAAACATTCATACCCTTCGACCCAGGAATCCCAGTCTTGGGAGTTTATCCTAAGAAACTAGTTTTTAAAAAAGGAAGGAAGGAATGGGGGAAGGTTACATGCATTAAGATATTTATTCAAGTGCTATTGAATAGTCAGCAGAAGGAGACTCAGGAAAGTCTGATTTCATCCAGCGTACCATGCAACCGTAATCAGTGAAAGTTCTGAAGACTAGTCTGCAACTTGAGAAACTCCTTAAGATAAGACGGTAAGTGAGAAAGCACAATTAAAATTGTCTGTACAAAGAGAACAGTACTGAAAGGCTCAGAGAGAACTCAAAATAGTTGGTTTGATGTGGTGGTAGGATCAGGGTGATTCTGTTAAAAAATGTCCCCCTTGTCAGCACTGCATTAGCTGCATAATAAATGAAATAAGAATGATGTAGTCACTGGCATAGCTCTTTCAGTGATGAAGATTAATAGGCAAAGCCTACAGAGTTGAGTGTGAAGGAGCTGGCCGAACTCCGCCCCCCTCCTCCCCGCCCCCGGCTGTCTTGTGCTTCTGGGGTTGCCCCACACGTTCCATGGAGAATTCTAACATCTGCCCCTCTGCCTCCAAGGGCGATGGGGATGCTACCTGGAACAGCTTGGAGGAAATCTAGGGCAAATGTATTGACCATTTTATTTATCTCTAAGAGTGATCACGGCCCAATCATAAATGTAGGGTATTCTTAAACAGGTACTTGGCTTCTAGAGGTCGCAGGATGAACAGGAGTGAAAGGCAGGATGCTCAGATAATTCCATACCCCTTCTTGCTGTCCCCAGGTGGAGACTGCACCCAGTGTGTCCTGTGGCATGTCCTCGGGAACAGAGGGCAGGACAGCCATGCCACGCTCTGCGTCCTCTAGCCATCTGTTCGGATGCTACAGGCAGGGGTCTGCAGAGGGACAGCACACGGCGGGTGCATGCAGAACCCATGCAAGAGGACGGGAAGAGGGTGGCGGCCACCCTCGGGGCATGCACCCCGCCTCAGAGAGGGCCAGGCAGCAGATGGGATCACCGGCATTCCCGCTCTGGGACAAGCAGTACCCAAGGTGATCGTGGTGTAAACGACTCCTTCAGGCACCTGCACCCATCTGGGGACTCCACTGGGGGGAAATCTGCCAGAATGATCTGTGTGGTATCCAGAAGAACAGACAAAGGCAAGAGGAAGAGAGAGAAGATGAAGACGGCGGCAGACCCAAATGCAGACACAAAGAGATGTGGCGACGCGGCTGCCCTCCCACCAGAAGTTAGTGCGTTCCCATCGGAGATGTGGGCTTGTCAGGTGTACCCCAGCCTGGCCAAGGACATCATTTCCCAGCCCCTTCCCGTCCAGAGATGTGACTTCCTGCCGCCAATGGAATGTGGATAGAAGCACTGGGTGTCACTCTGGCTGGTGCCTTTAAGGAGCACAGAGAGGTTCTCCACCCTTTCTTTGTGGTGGATTCTGTGGCCTCAGAAGGTGACCGAGCCCACGCTGGACGGAGCCTGCTGACCAGTAACGCCCAGCTGAACTATTCCGTGAGTGAGAATCAGATTTGCACTGGGTTACTCTAAGCTGCAAGAGGGGTTGTTTGTTACAGCAGCTGCCGTTGCTGATGTCTACTGTCTCTAGCAGGAGACACCAGCAATGCAGGAGCTCTACCTAATCGCTCCCGCACAGGCCGGCAGGGCACTTACTAAACTTGTTCAGAGAGAGGACCTGACCCAGGGAAGCAGTGAGCGGACTGCTGATAAAGCAGGTCAAGAGGCCAAGCAACTGGTCTTTTCCAGGAAGTCAGCAGAATCGCTGTTGGCCAAAGAAGTAGAGGAAGGGGTGGGAGTCCAATGGTCATTTCTGCTGCTGTGACCTGTGCGTCCCACTGGTCAGACAGGTGTGGGGGCCAGCAGGCAGGAACCAAGGGCAGGCCGGCTTATGATGCAGGGGAGGCCCCCTCTTTGTGGTAAGTATGACCAGCTCCCCACAAGTCATCCTCCGTCCTCGAGCTGGCAGGGGACAAAAGGCAACTGGGCTTCTCCCCACCCTCCTTGCTGACCTTGTGATGACCCCCCGGTTCTGGATAAAACCAATATGAGCTCCCAGTCAAGAGACAAACACCGGGATCCTTCTGACTGCTTGTTTGTGTCGAGATGAGGTGTCTGCCCCACCAGCAGGCCCCCGGGAGCGTCTGGGAGGCAGGCCCCGGCTGGCACAGGCCACACCCAAGAGAGATGGGCTTCAGACACATGGAGGTGCTCCCCGGGGTGAGTCACTGCTCCCACCTTCCAGACGCACCCAGACAGCCCCACCGCGCTCTCAGCTCCAGTCTGAAATCACAGTCCGGCCGGTGACTTGGCAACACCTCACAAGTTAAGTGACGTCTGTCCACAAAGCCAGCCTCTTAGAATAAAATTCCTTTGGGCCAAAGAAGCCCTCACCTCCCACACAGTTCCCGGGACCTCAGACAGTAGGTAAAGTGTGAAGAAAGAGGACAAGAATCCCTTGTGGCTCCAAGTGACTGGTCCCATCTCATCCCAGGGCCAGTTCTTTGTGACACCAACAAGGTCCCCTCCTTTGGCCAAGTTCATTCCCACCACCAGGGATCCTTACCGCTGACATCTGCAAGTTGCTTTATGCCTTCAAAGACCTTTCACTTACAAAGGAAGGAAAGAGAAGGAGGTAAGAAAGGGAGAGTGAGGGGACCAGAGAGTCCAGCTACTGGACTGGGAGAATGGGGCCACAACCATCTCTTTGTTCCAGAACCTTCAAGGCCTTTCTGTGTTTTAGAATCCCCACGAGAGCATTTCTATTTCTGATCCAACCTCATCAGGCTGAGAACCACTGGCCGAGGACAGATGACTCCAGCGTGAGCCCTGCCCCCATAGCAAAGGCCATCTACCTAAGTTAGGTCAGCCACAAACAACCCTCCCCTCCAAAGGCTGGAGAGAAGTCTATTCAGAGAAAAGCCTAAGTCGTTACCAAGGCCTACAGCTGCTTTCTGTGTCCCCATCTCCCATCTCTCTCCCCCAACCCCACCTGTTCCTGCCACAATGGCCTCCAAACATGCCAAGGGCTCTCCTGCCTCAGGGCCTTTGCATGTACTGTGCTCTCTGTTTAGAAAGTTCTTCCTGCAGGTATCAGCCCCACCCAGTTCCCACTTCATTTGGGAATCTGCTCAAGGTCATGCTATCAGAGAGGGCCTCCCTAATCTAAAATAAAATCCCTCTCCTGCCCCAACCCAGCTCCTGCAGCTTTCCATCCTGACAAGTTATCACCACCTGACACATCCTATGTTTATTTGCTGTCTGTCTTCCCTCGCAGAATCTAAGTGCCGTGACCACTGAACCCCACTGAATCCTGCGTGCTGCTGAGCTCCTGATTCCTAGAAGCATGCTGGGTACATGGTGGGAGCCCAGTGACTGTTAGTCCAGCGAAAGAACCTGGAAACTGGGGCTCTGGCTCAGCCTGACCACATTTCCATTGCTTACGGGGCCTTGTGCCTCTCGGCCAACACACCTCTTCTTTGTCACATTTCTGTGCTGAATCCAGCAACATCCAGGCAGGACCACAGAAAGCATCAGACACAGTAAACCAGCTCCTTGTGGACCACCCCAAGCCCCTCCTTGCAGGTGGGTTGGGTCTGCTGTAGGTCTCAGCTCCCCAGCAGACCAGAGGCCAAATGCTCTGTGGCCAGTTCTCAATTCGGGCCACGCTCTCTAGTAAGAGCCGCCCAGGCTGCCCTGTGTTTCTAGCCAGGGTAAGTGTGCCGGTCACCACCAGGGGAGTTGGCACTGGCATCCGTGCAGGAAGTGATTGGACCCCCTCCGAGCCCCGTCCCCAGGATGTACCATTGAGGGATGTGTCATATGGTTCAGCCTCTTCATAGTAACCCTCTGGAGACTCGATCTTTGGGGTGGAGAGCTGCTTCCGTTCTGGAATCTGTGGTATGAACAAATAAAACAAACATTTTCAGATACGATACACTGGGAACAACTTGGAATTAACCCTCTGGGTGGAAGGAGAGGGAACCAGAAGAAAAAAGTGCCCACCTTGGACATCAAGCAAGTCGAGAGGGAGAACAGGGATTATCGTGACTCCCATCAGCCACTCCATCCACAGTGTTTGGTTTGCATCCAGCTGGAGGGCCGTGGGCACACTGCTTAACCTCACCAAGCCTCAGCATTCCCCCCGCCCCCTGCAAAATGAGGCTCCGATGCCCACCACACACACAATATCATTGTACACATGACATAACACACTTGAAAGACCAGATGGAGTCAAGCTGTCGTAGCTATGATGGCTTCTACATAGAATACACTTTCTACAAAGACAAGGGCTGATCAGGGGTACACAGAGGAAGAGGACCTGGCTTCTAACTCCCAAACTTCTCCCATAACAAGTTCAATCATTTGCTCAGCAGATACTGGATGGCTCCCATGGACTAGCTGAGGGACACATCCAGATGGTCAGGAGTCAGTCCTGAGAAAGTCTTAACTAGGTGCTCACAGCTCCTTATCAAGTGCTTTAATAGACAAGGTCAAAGCTCCATGGGAGCCTGGAGGGTGTGATGAACATTTAGGACCAAGGAAGGATGCTCAGAGGACAGGACCACCCAGCATTTCTTACATGGCATGAGGGTGAATGAGCATAATTTGAGTAGAATAAAAACATATGCAGGGCTTCCCTGGTGGCGCAGCGGTTGAGAGTCCGCCTGCCCATGCAGGGGACACGGGTTCGTGCCCCGGTCCGGGAAGGTCCCACGTGCCGCGGAGCGGCTGGGCCCGTGAGCCACGGCCGCTGGGCCTGCGCGTCCGGAGCCTGTGCTCCGCAGCGGGAGAGGCCACAACGGTGAGAGGCCCGCGTACCGGGAAAAAAACAAACAAAAACATATGCAACTGTGGAGAAGAACAGAGCATGGAAATCGTTCTCTCCTCCATTATTCCATCTGTAAGATGGGCACTAGACTATGACGGTAATCTCATAAGCAATAGCAGGGGAGAAAGAGGTAGATGGTGGCATGAATATTACTATATATAGGTCATGAACGTGTAAGTGTCCCTCCACACAAGTCTCTGATGTCTTTCTGAATCACGAAGTCCCTGAAGAGGGCCAAGGGAATATTCATGATGAGAACAGAAATGGCAAAAGCTGAAGTGCATTCTCAGTCCTGGTTTTGAGAAGCCCTTGTGCTGGGTGTTCCACACGAGGGGCAGGCCTGGACCTTCGGGGGGTGCCAAGTGAAGACAGAGAACGGCTCTTAAGGTAAAGGGGGTACAGGGAGATCGTAGGAGAGACAGGGCCCTGACCTCGGACGGACCCCTGGACTGCTGGGGATTCCTTGCCCCACCAGGAACAGAGGCAGGAGGTGGGGAAATCTAGAAACCTTTGCCTTGGAAAATGAGCTTCTTTGGGGGACCCATGACAGAGAGAGCTTCCCTAGACCTGGCCCAGGCGGTGGTGGGAGAACAGGCAGCGTGGGCTCACGTCCCCGTGGGACAGTACTCAGCAGGGACCACAAGGGCGTCAGTTCCCAGCTTCCCCTGGGGGCAGAGTAATGCTCCTGCAGCTGCTGCACAAAACCAGGCTCCCCAGAGCCAAGTCTTCTGTGGCTTGGCGACTAGATCTATTCCTGTGATCTCTAGAGTGAATGTAACTAGGTTGGAATCCAGCCTTTAGGAGTCCATAGATTTAACCATGGGTATGTGACAGCCTCTCCGGGTCTCACTTTCCCTCTTCATAAAACAGGACTAGTACTGGAGTTGTCGAGGATTCAAGGAGACAAAACGTGATGGTGCTTCCACAGGGCCTGGCACATATCCAGTACGAGGAGGCTGTTGTCATCGTTGTCTGGGCGCCTCCACAACCCAGGCGCCCTGCAGGAGCCAGGTTACTGGATTGCTGTCCGGCAAAAGCTGAGACAGGTCCGCATGAAGAGTGTCAGCAGAGGCCAGGCCACCACCCGGCTCCCATGCCACGTCCTTCGAACTCCATCTGGCCCGACGCCGAGAGAGCTGACCCAAGTCCCAGAGGCAGGCTCTGAGCAGCCTGCAGCCCCAGTAGGTGCGACACACAGCAAGCAGGAAGGAACAGAATAATCTGCTCATTTCCTAAGCAGCCCAGCTGTGCTCCGGGCCGGCTGCGGAAGGGCGACGGCTGTGAGTGGTGCCTCCGGCCGGGCTCCTCGCCGGGGTGAGGGCCTCGCACACGGTGGACACATCTGGTAGCTGCTAGTGGATGACCCTTTGCCTTTGCTGCCCCTGGCCTGGAGAGACATCTCTGCTCCTCTCGGCTATTCCTGGCCCCGGTCAGCCAGAGGAAGGGCTGCCTCTGAGAGCCAGCTTCCTGGGGTCTGAGGGGAAAATGCCTTCTTTACCTGGGCCCCGACAAGGTCTCTGCTTTTGGGTCCTGGGGCTCAGGCTTCCTGAGTGGGCTGGGCCTCCAGCTGCAGCCTCCAAGAAGCCCCACTCCCCATCACAGGATGTGGGAACCCTTGTCTTGGTGAGGGTGTGGGGATCCCATCCGGAGGGAAGCTCTGAGCACCCAAGGTCTGGCTCTGGTCTGGATTCCCATGATTAGAACAGGACAGAAAGGGATTGAACTCTCCTGCGGGAACTCCTGCTGGGTCATTATCCCCACAGGGGGCCTGCCCTCCGTCTAGGAGTTGAGCACCAGGGGGTGTTTCTTGAGAGTCATCCAAGCCTCTCACTGTGAAATCATCTGTAAATGGATCTATACAGAGAGGCAGATAGGGCAGTGGGACAGGAATCTGACCTTCGGGGCTGGGTTCGAATCCTGACACTGGCACATCGAGCTGTGTGACTCTGGACAACTGACTTGACCTCTCTGGGCCTCAGTTCCTTTGCTATAAAATGGGGAGAGTAGAAGTATCTGTCACATGGGGTCACTGTAAGGATTAAACCATGCTCAGCACTATCAAATAATAAATATTAGTGTTCGCTAACCTTCAAAATAAGATATAAAAATATCAATCAAAGGGAGAAATGGTGCCTGTATGCATGTTTGGTGGGGGAAGAACAGGTGTACTCTGGGAGGATACAGTGGAGGTATTTGGGCATGACCTGGCTTATAGCAAGCTCAACCGCCTTAAAGAACAGGACAGCCCCTGTCCTCAAGGCGGCCAGGGCAAAAGATACGGGCCTGGGTCACGTTAAAGGATAAAACGACTCCAACAATTCAGAAGAGAGTCACATAATTACACAGGCGCAATGGCCTATCATCAGAGGTCAGAGGAGCAAGAGATCCTAAACTCCCAGAATTAAGAATAAAGGAAAGTTACTTTATCATCGTGATGATGAAGATGGTGCACATTCAACGAAGAAGCAGAAGAGATGTGACTTCGGAACCTAAAATAATGTCCTGAGGGTTCACAGGAAGGGACAGGGAAGAAAGCCACCCTGCTCAGTGTGACTTGCCAGAGATCGACAAACTTTACCTGTAGAGAGCCAGTCAGTACTTAGGGATTTGCAGGCCATTCGGCGGCTCTGATCTCAGCTCTTCTATCCTGCTACTGTAGCGCAAAAGCACCCATAAATCATACACAAATGAATAAGCTTGGCTGGATTCCAGCAAAATGTTATTTACAAAAGCAGGTGGTGCAGGATTTGGTCAGGCGGCTGTACCTGGCCAGTGCTGATTTAGATGAGACACAGAGCTGAAGATGTGGGGTGGCCCAGGTGACCTGGGGCGCCCCTGCAGTTCTGAGCAACCTGCCCCAGAATGCACTGTGGAAGCTTCTGGGGTGGGGGCTAGCGGATCCAGCCCGAGCTCCCCAGACCAACCATGGTGACGGCCTTCCCTGACCCCGCAGAGCAGCCTGCAGAAGTCCAGCCCCGACGCGTGGTCAGGCCTCAGAGGGGAGGTGGGCGGAGATGGCCGCCCAGGCCAGGAGCACGACGGTGCCAGCAGACGTCTGTCTCTCGGAAAGCGACCGCCGCACCTGGCTATGCAGACCGTGGCCTGGAAGTGCCACGGCTGCCTGAGTCACTGGCCACACCCATGAGGTTGCTCCAGACCCCTGGCTGCCCCCTCCAGTGTTGGACGGGCTGAGCCTGGGACAGAGGCCACGCTCCCGGCCCAGCCCTGGGCACTGAGGACCCCAGGCAGACACCCGGCTTGTGCTACAGCCATCAGAGAGCCCGGGGCCGGGCATGCAAGAGGACAAGCCACTGTGGTGCCCTGAAGCTCCTGGGTCAGGGTGGGAAGGGACACGGCTTCCTCTGGCCGAGGAAGAGAGGTCGCAGGGCCAGCCAGGCTCAGGCTGCCAAGCTCCCTCCCTCCCAAACTACTTGCTGTTCTGGTTCTCCTTCCTGTGAGAGCCAGAAGACACAGCTGTTCCCCGCTCCGCCCTGACACTGCTCCTCTGGGGGCCTTGGACTACGTCTTCAGCCAGACTTGACCAGAGAGGAGGCTGGAGGGGAGCAGGCGTGTGTGGGCAGGCAGGGAGGACCCCGGGTTCTGCACCCCCCCTTCCTCACTCCACATCCAGAAGGGCCTGGGGTGGAGGTGGGCGACTGGGACAGAACTAGGAGGGACCTAGGAAGGGTCCTTCTCGGCAGAGAAATTCCACAAGGAGCCGAGACTGCCAAGGCCGCTCGCTCTGCTGGAAGTCGCCCCACGGCCTGGAGTATGTCCACGGGAACCGTCACCACGCATCTGAAAGGCCGCACGTCTCGGGTGGTGGTGTCTTTCCAGTGCAGCGATAGGTTCCTCTCGAGCCTCTCCTGGCCCCGACGGCCCACAGACACAGATGATGCCGGGAGTCCGCTCCAGGGGACGGCCACAGCCCTGGGCTTGCTCGGAGGCCCTGCGTCTCACACCCCCCGAGCCCCTGGGGCCTCTGTGCCGGGGTCACAGAAGGCTGGCAAGGGAGCACTAAAAGCCAGCCAGAGTCGCGGGGCCGCCGGACTCTGTGACCATGACCCGGCCCCAGACCCTGGGTTCCCAGTCCACCACCACGTTCGTCAAACACGGGCTTCCAGAGCAAGTCACCGCTAAGAGGCTCCACCAGGTGAATGCTCCTCCCGTCTGGTGTGGACCCCTAAGCAGCTAGCTGCCCCACGTGGGGTGGGCAGTGGCACCCCACTGCACAGAGGCCAAAGGCACCCTGGTCAGAATCAGACATGAACTCGGGCTAGGAAAGTTGCAGCCACCTCTCCTTCCCCCCATCTGGCGAGGGGTGCTTGGGGCGTAACCCGAAAACCACAACACCTCCCATCTGCTTAAAACCAGCAGCAACTGGATGGGAGCTGAGAGGCCATGCCCCCTCCCCAAGTCCCGGCGCTGAAAGTGAGGGGAGCCTGCAGCGGAAAGGGACACAACTTGTACCTTTACTTGGCTAAGAAACCGAGCTGAAGAGTCCGGGAGGCCGCAGAGTGGCCCAGAAACCAAGAAACTGCATACAAATCCTGGGCCTGCTACCTCCCAGGGGTGGGATCTTGGCCAGTTGTTTTAACTCCCTGAGCCTCTGTTTTTTGGCAGGTGGTGGGAGGACCATGTTTGTGTGCACGGAGTGGGCAGCGGCTCAGAGCATGGCAGTCACTCATGGCATCAGCATATTGGGGTACCCAGGGACTGATGCTCAGTCCATCAAGTCTCAGTCAGCCTGAGATGAAGGGTCCCTGCCAAGCTGTCACCCAGCTCCAGGGGCTCCTGCAGTGGGATGCTGCCCAGACATTCCAGGCCTGCCCTACCAGCTGTGAGAGCAGCGGGAAGAACCGTACTGCCCCCAGGAAGGCATGAATGAAGGGGCCAGTCTGGGGACGGGACCCCCTCAGTGGTGACCTGAGCCTACAGATCCGGGGATGGATGGCTTGGTGGGAGCTCAGTGACCGTGCAGTCCCACGGTGCCAGAAATCCTTCCCAGCCAGATCCTAGCGTGGAAAGAACTTGGGTTCAAGTCCTGCCACTTCAAGGCTGTGTGACACTGGGATATTATAAACCCACTGATTCTCGGTTCTTCACCCATAAAATGTAAACACTACCACTCACCTCACTGAATACTAATGTAGTCTGCCACGCCCCCTGAATAAGAGGAGCTTAGGTGCGAGATGTTCATGTTCCTTTCATTTAAACACCAGGAAACAGAGGGCCAGAGACCTTAAATAACCTGCTCAAGGTCAAGGAGCTAGTACCCGGCAGAGCTGGAACCTGAACCCAAGTCTTTAGGAGTCCATCCATCCATCCATCCATCCAGAAGCATGCGTGTGGTCTACTGTGTGCACACACAGTCCCTGATCCAGGGAGCTTACATCTACTCTGGGAGGCAAATAATAAACATGGAGGGGTAACTGGGCGGTGTGGCAGGCAGTAATGGGGGCAGGCACCGAGGTGGGATGCCTCACATGGTAGGTCAGGGAAAGTCTGTCTAAGAATGTCTGAGACAGGAGGAGGGGGCAGCCTTTGAGGGGCCAGGGCCCGGGGACTGCAGAGTCCCTGAGGCAGGACTGACCACAGGGAACAAGCCAGGAACAGAAAGGAGGCTAGTGCACGGCAGATGCAATGAGGCTGGAGATGCAGCTGGGCCAGACCGTGTAGGCCCTGGGGCCACGTGAAGGAATGTGGATGTTCTGTCCCAAGTCCAGTGAGAGCTCTTGGTGGGTTTCAAGCAGGAAGTGGTGTGATGTGGTTTACATTTCTGAAAGGTCACTGTGGCCTGAGCTGGTGCCCATGTCTGCACAAGGCCCCGCTCATGGGGTGCTGGTGAAGAGCCTGGCATAGCCTCGGACACACAGGGACCCTCATCTCGCACTGCCGTTCCTCTTTGCGCTGAGCAAATGATGTCACCTGCTAGCACGCTTACTTGTCTCCGTCCCTCCCGGTGCCCCAGACCCCACAGACAACAGGTGCTCCGAAAATGCCAGACACTTGGTGGACTGACACCTGTGAGAAGCACTGGACCTTCACGGGACCCAAGTCAGGGAAATGAGGGGTCCCGGACCCACACTTACGATCTTGGGTGGCGGGAGGTCTGGAAGACTCTTCTGAGGGGCCGAGGAGTGCTGGCTGGGCTCACCGTTAGTCAGTGGGCTCTGCTCCTCGGGCGCTGTGGGAAGCAAGCAGGAGAGGGCTTCGGTGGGGGGCACCCAGCCTTGCAGTGGAGTCTCAGTAGCCAGGAATCTCTGGTCACATGAGCCCCGAGTTCTATTTGGGCAGGTGGTAATTACCCGGGCAGGCGGTCCCTGGAGCCAGTGTTGTTTTTCCTCCAAGAATAGGGAAGATCAGCCATGGGCAGTTTCCTCAGGAGGAACTAGTCTGAGGTTTCTGGTAGGTTCCGCACCCTGTCCTCCACCGGCCCCATGTCCAAAGTGCCCCGTGGCCACGGAGCTCCAGCGAGCGGAGGAGCTGCCCGTGGTCACTATATGGAGCTGCTCTCAGCACCGACCCTGTGATTACCTCTGTCCACCCCATGGTTTCCCCGGAAGGCAAACAACTTAGGGCCCGGAGGCTGCTTTAGTGCAGGGCACTTCTGCTGAGCCCACGCTTGGTGGTGGGGCAGGAGGTGAGAGCCACACTGGGGACATTGGCCACCAACCCTCTGTGCACTTTTAAGGAAAAAGGCACCAAAGGCTCTTCTGAGCCTGACCACTTCAGCAGGTGGCCAAGCCAGCTGGGGACAGACAGGTTCAGGCAGATCTGACCTTGGGGCTTTGCTGGCTGATGTCCTGAAGCCAAGTCTTTAACAGGAATGAATGTTTTGGGATGCTGTGTTCCCACGTCTTGCTAAGCCTCTGCCTTTGAGTCACAGGCTTGAGAGTTGGGAGACGGGGCTTCTAATCCCCTCTCCTCTGCAGCTAGGCAGCTCTGCAAACCTCTGGGCCTCCCTGGGGTCCTGCTGGACCCACTCCTGAGGGTTTTCAGACAAAAGCAGAGAGCAGAACAGAGAAGATTAAGACGCCATGGAAGACACCACCTGTCCTTCCAGTGGAAGTTAAGATGTTCTGCCAAGTGATCACCTTTGAACAAAACCTTCGATAGAATATTAAGGCAGCTGCTGACATCACGGACTCCTCGCCATCACACCCCCACCCCAACACACACACACTCATAAAATCCAGACCTCTGTCAAAAGTCATAAAGCTGGGGCTGTGGAATCAGCACCTATACAGCTGCTTTCTTAGAGCATCTGAATTATAACTTCCTATTACCGGGACGATGCTGGGAAACGCTGAGAGATTTTAGGGACTGAATCCTTATCCACGAAGGGGACACGAGACCTTTAAGAGGCAAGGAGGTGGCCTGATGAGACATCCCAAAATACATCAACCCCAAATAGCATCAACCAAAATGCGACTTCCAAAAATAACCCCACTAGGCCTGTCTGTGGTCCTGGCTGGGAGGAAGGAGGGGTGGGACGGAACCAAGGCTTATACTGGCCCCCTTCCTGGGAGCTGGCCACTCCATCAGCGGTAGCCCCGTACCTTTGTCTTGGGACTCAGCATCCTGTTGCTTGTGGACCGTCACTTTGTTCATATAAATGTACTCCTCATCAGAACCTGCAGAAGGAGGATGGAAGACACAGGCTTCATGTGATTTCATGAAGGGAAAGGGCCTCTAGAGAGAAAGGATGTCCCCTCCACCCCTCAGAGACATTGTCATCAGTCTGGATTCCAGTAAAAGCATACAACATTTTGAGTTGATTGAAAGAGTCCATTGTACAAAGAGCTGACAGATTTCCAAAAAAAGAAATACCAAATTGCTGACTGTTAGTTTTCTAGCCTGGGGGGAGGGGAGGGAAGGGAAGGGGAGGGTACAGAAGGATAGCTTTGGGAATAAAAGTCTTAAGTGGAAAAGCACCCATACCTTAAAGATGTGCCTCATATTCCACCAAGCAGAGATTTCTCTGGGTTTCCTAGCATTTTGTTTAAATTGTAAAACATTTCCTATCAGTCATTCTCACCCTAGTCTGAATTACATTCATCAGCTAACCAGAGTGAGGTCTATATAAGATAGGTCATATTCAGGACCTGGAAGTTTAGCTCCCAGGCCTCTAGGTGGGGTGTGACTGTGGGGGCCTGAGCTCTGGGTTTGGAGTGGGGAGTGTGCTGGGATTGGGCCTGCAGGACCAGCAGCTACCTGCTCTACCTGCAGTGCACAGCCCTTCCCCTCCCTTAAAAACATTTCTGTACAGGCTGTCACCTTCCCCGTGCATGTCTAGGCAGAGAAAGCCTTGGACCCTTTCTTCAGAAGCCTGCAGAGGAGACTGATCTGAGTGTTTCTCCTCCTAGAAATCCTCCTGCATTTCTTTGTGCCTCTTAATTTGCATTTCCTAGAAACTTGCGGCTGATAAATTCCAGTGGCTAGAGATGGTGCTACAGAGCCAAGGAGCCCAATTCAAACCCCTGGCGAAGGAGGCAGTTCAGCGCCAGCCAGTTCCACACCACAGACTGCCTAGACTCCAGCCAGCAGGCCTGCGTCAACAGAGCCCTGAGAACCCAGAGGAACAGGAGGAGGGTACGGCTGGATGGATCTTCCTCCATCAGCCCGTGGGATTGCCACCCTGGTGCCCAGCCCTGCCAGAACCAGTCAGCAACGTCACCCCTATACCAAGGGCCGCAGCAGCTAATCAGAGGGAACTACAAAGTCTAAACGTAGTTATCCACAACTTGCATACTTCCACTGAGGGGCTGGGTCTGTACCTTCTCCAGAGCATGGCACAGGATTAAAGCACTCTGCAGGGGGAAGCAGGAGACAGGGTAGGGAATGGGGGGCGGGGAGCCTCGGCCAAGCTCTGCCATTAACAGTAATTCTGAGCAAAACAGCTGACCTGTGTGCCTTGGTTCTCTTGCCTGCATAGTATATGGAAAATAATTGTGATGAAATATTGCCTAGTTCTACCCAACTGAAATTTTCAAATGTACAAAACTCAAATGTTAGGGAATTTGTAACTAACAAAGATTAAAAATGACAGCCTAGGGCTTCCCCGGTTGCGTAGTGGTTGAGAGTCCTCCTGCCGATGCAGGGGACGCGGGTTCGTGCCCCGGTCCGGGAGGATCCCACATGCCGCGGAGCGGCTGGGCCCGTGAGCCATGGCCGCTGAGCCTGCGCGTCCGGAGCCTGTGCTCCGCGACAGGAGAGGCCACAGCAGTGAGAG